CTCGTTTGAAGTGTGTCCGGTCACGAGAGGGCGTACTTGTCTAGATGCGCAGCCGCAGGCAGACGCGTGCACACTTCGGGGTCTTTACGATCCTCAATGTGGCACTGTTGGGCATTGTCTGAGTCGACGGGGCTGCTGGTGTTCTGAGCCGACATTGCTTGCAGCATTGGCCAGTCCAATGATTTGATCAGGGTGCAGCTGTTTCCTGACTGTCAGTGCAGAGGAACCACCAAGATCCGTTACCCGTGATGAGAACTGCGCATAACTGCACCGAGCTTGTTGTTGCACCTTTGCCGCTTGCGGAGAAGCGTCTGAGTCGACAGGGCTGTTGGTGATATTTGCTACCGTCATGAGCTGCGGACGTTGCTGAGGCACCTTGGTCAGTCCAATGATTTGATTGGGGTGCAGCTGTTTCCTGACTGTCAGTGCAGAGGAACCACCAAAATCCGTTACCCGTGATGAGAACTGCTCAGAACTGCACTGAGCTTGACTGGCTTTGTCGCTTTGGTCAGTCCAATGACTTTGATCAGGGTTCAGCTTTTGGCTGACTGTCAGTGCAATGAATCACCAACGCCCACTTACAGCTTGGTGCCGTGGCTTCCTGTAGACGGGCCCTGCCAGGATGCATGCTGGACTCACCGACCGACAGCTTAAGAAGCAGTTGTTTCATGACACTGACAGCTTGAATGACCCAAAAGATTTCCTGAGCCCTTCCTGGATTCCTCGTGCGATATCGTGCGATCCTAGGTAGTTGTGTCGAATTTAGGCTGTTTTGCTCGCCATGACCCTGTTTCGAGGATGGAAGGGGCGCCAATTGCAGCCAGACCTCCGGCTCACCGCGAGGAGGAGGATCCGCGCTTTTTTCGGAGAAGAGCGCTCTGGGCTTTTATTGTGGTGTGCCTCTTTTCTAATATTAATATATTATGAATATACTATAACATAGTATAATATCATATAATATCGTGCGCTCAGACAGCTCTTCTTCATGGAAGGACACCTCGGACCTCCGGCTTGGCCGAGCCATGCCGGCCCGGGGCTCAAAGGAAGGATTTCTTTGGTGACGATTCCTTCCAGAAACCGGGAGGGGCGGGGGGGCCCAGGTGAACACCATCAAGGCCGCGAACTTCGCGCATTTCAATGATCTGGCATTGCTTCACTTGGCCTCTTGGCCTCAGAAGCGGACGTGTTGTGCCCTTGCTCTCCCTCGCTCTTCTTTTGGAGAGCCCAGCCATGAGGTGCTAAGAAGGCACTACTTGCCGATCAGCTGCCAGGAAACACAGGCCTCGCCCGACACGATGGGCCTGGGTTCTTGTTGTGTTTTGGTGAAATCTCCGCCAGGAGTTCACGATGTCAATTACATCCTTCTCACGCTGTTTTTGCGAAGATGTGGCTTCCTGCTCGGAGTGCTTCGAGGACGTCATGACAACCCCGAGATCGAGCCTATAAACCCCGAGGTGCAATGTAGCCTGAAGTTCTTCTTCATCATGGACTGCCAGGCCTGGCCCCGGAGTGATGTCTCATAAGATCAGCGATGATCATGAAAATGAAGACACACCTTCTTGTGAGGGCGTAGCTTGTGGCAGATGTGGCAGCCTGTCCATGTAGAGACGCCTGGGTGTGCGACCTGTTCGCATCAGGTGAACTTGCTCGTGCTCTTCTCGCTGCTGGTGTCGATAGGGCAGGTGGGCCGGGGATGCTTGCGAGGAGCTCGAACTGCAGAAAGCAACCTGCAACCAATCTGCCGGGCGGACGGTTTGTTCGGCCTGTCCCCGGAAGCTGAGTCGTCACTTCCCAATTTTCGGGAACAAGCTCCGTGTGGCTGCGAGAAGTGCAACCACATGCAGGCCGTTGGCTCCTGCTTCTATGCCAGCACCTCTGCGATGGACCTGAGGAGAGCGGCTACACTGCTACAGGCGAAAGCCGAGTCCCCATCTTCGTGCCTGAAGGACATCGGAGGAGGCGAACCCGAATGATTGAGACAGGCCGTTTGCACGCTTCCCTGTCAGGGCGAGCATCTATGAAGCTCACCGAACTCCACGCTTTTTCTTGAGTTTCACCTGGCTTAGGTCAGGTTCAGCTGCTTGCAGAGTCGACGACCTTCGGAGCTGTGGTAGTTGCAAGGATACGCATAGCAGCTGACAGTAGGCCCGGCCAGAAGCCGAGAGTCTCTAGAAGCTTTGTTCGGCATTTGCCAAACTCGATAGCAGACCTCTTCGTTCCCATTGATTGAAAACAACAGAACGGCATTGCGAGGCGATGGTGGGAGTTTGAAAAGGTTGAGTAGTGCACATACAGTGTTGGCTCAAGCTTGCAGAGCTTGCGCTTATTGGTTGGCTTGGTAGCCTGGTAGCCGAGATAACAGCACCCAGTGGTGCATCGTTTGAAAGCTCACCATCGAGGTTCTACGTGTAGCTGCAGTTCACCCTGTGGCCAACCTGGTGTGTGACGCAGTGTTCAGCAAGCATGCGTGAGCAGTGAAGGCATGCTTTCCGCCAGTTTCCATGGCAGCCGGCCACAGCGATGGTGGCCTGGGTGACCAGCCTGTCAGAGCCCTGGCAGCTTCCACGGCAGCCCTGGCATTCCCCGCATGAAAGAAGTGCAAGGACTTGCCGCCATTTGCGGCGGTTTCCGTCTGCATGCAGCATCCAGCTCAGGCGAGCCGTGGCAGTGTCTGCGAGCCTGACAGTTGATCTAGAACAATACAGTAATGCAAGTACTTGGGCATGGACTCCAAGAAAGCTTGTCCTTAGCAGAGGGTGAAGAGTCTGCCCGGAGACCTGTTTCTTGCTTTTGAGGCATTGTGCCTTTGAGCAGAGCCCGCTGGAGCAAAGCCCTCAAACCGCGCGATCTCGCCTGGCCCAAGCTCGCCTGAGGCCGTTTTTTTTTTGGGTTCTCATGGCTTCACCGGTTCATTAGGGTTTGGGGGTTTAGGGTTCAGGGTTTAGGGTTTAGTGTTCATCCTTTCTTGAAGCTCCTAGTCGGGAAACAAAGAAGTACAGTTACATATGTGCAAGCGAGTAGCTGGGTACATGCCGCGTCTGACATTACGTCAGAGATGCTACTGCCTTTGTACCGTAGTACTGTTATTGTGTGATATTGTGTAATTATGCCTGGTATATGGTCAGTTCTCTAAATCAGGGTCCCTTCTTAGTCCCCAATATAGTACGGCACCCTTATACAAAGGTACCCTAAAAAGGGGCCTTACTTTAGAGAACTACCCATATACTACCCTTATATAGAAACCCTTTTGAAAAGCCCCAAACGGGACCCCTAGCTTTAGAGAACTGCCCAACTAGTAGCCCTTAAACCCTAAACCCTTATGGTACCCGTAAAAGGACCCGAAAAGAGGGACCCTTAATGTAGAGAGCTACCCCAAAATATGTCTGAGAGAGGCCCTAAACCCCTAAACCCTCTAAACCCTAAGCCCTAAACCCTAAACCCTAAGCCCTAAACCCCAAACCTCAAACCCCAAACCCTAAGCCCTAAGGAGGCCCTGGGGGATTCTGCCAGGTTCGTTCTGCGGCACAGCGCGGTGCTCGGGCCCATGAGCACCTCCATCGGCTCCTTGGCCCTTGCTTGGAGGGGTCTCTTCGGGTGGTGTCTAGGGTCTTTATATAAGAGGTAACTGTGAGCTTGGGCTTGAAGGGTCACAGGGCTTATGAGGGCTCAGGGGTTTTAAGGGTTCAAGGGTTCAGGAGCCAATGGAAGGGATGGGGGGGGGTTTTAGGGTTTAAGGTTTTAGGGGTGTAGGGTTTTCGGGGGTTAAGTTTTTCGGGGTTTAGTTTAGGTTTTAGGGTTTAGGGGTTTAGGTAGTTGTGGCGGTTGAGGGATTCTCTTTGTTGATATTTTGGGTTGGCTCTGTTGTTTTACCCTTTGTCCAGGCCATGCCGGATACATCATGGGAATGCTCGAGCTTGTGGCTCAGCGCTGGCATCTATAGCTCATGTTATGGACTCATAGACGTGATGCAGCGTGCTCCTAGGTACGGGGTCACCGATATCTGGTGGCTGCGGGTTTGGGCCATCTCCGGTTGTGGCATGGTCGTTCTCTTCCAGCTGTACTGGGCTCGGCCCGGCCGGGTCGGGTAAAAAGCGCATCTTCTTAATGTTGCTTTCTGGCCTTCAAAGGCTGCAGCCGCAGTGCCAGTGGCTTTCGGCCACCTCCTCGGGAACTCGCCGTGATGTCTCTGCTACAACTGAATCATGCCAGCGCAGAGGCTGGTTGGTGCTTTGTCTACGTGATGGTCAATATATTCCAGATGATGGGGGAAGGCGAGCAGCCGGCCGTGCTCCCGATAGGAGATTTGCTTGCGGGCTCTTGCAGATCTCACCGGTTCCCCATGCCGAGGACCCACCCTTGACAGAAGATGAACGGACATCGCCTCAGCCAGCAATGCGCATGAGTTTCCGCCACGCCAGAATGCCAGAGTGTGCCGCTTGCCGCTCAGGAAGCTTTATGATTTGCTTCAGAGTCGAATCAGTGTTCGTGAGCACGGGGCCTGGACCAAGATACGGCTTCGCTGAATTCCTTCTCAGATTTCCGCCTTGAGTCAGGTTTGCTGATCTGGCCTACTACGGAGACTGGACAGTATTCTGTGCCGGTGACCTGCGCGGGGCTCTGCGCTGACTCCGTGCTTTGAGACAGCTTGCCTACGCGAGGCTTTGCGAGCGGGTCGGCGAAGCTGCCCCGCAGGGACTGGTGGACAACAAGGCGCACAGACGTCTGAGCTCTTCATTTTCAGCCTGTCTTTTCGATGTGAACAGGAGAAGTGCTTGTACCTCATCGCAGAAGGAAGCTGTGAGGCCGAGGGCCTTTTGACAAGGAACGCTCATGGCTTTTTTCGTGAATGCTGAATGTGTCTTTCAGCACGACCGGATGCGGAAACCAGCGGAGGTCTCTGCAGCAGGACGCCACATCACACTTCTGAAGCCGGGAAGTGTGGTCGGGGACGCACTGTGCTTAGAATTGGTGCGATGCAGCCGGAGCATCTGCTTATGATGATGTCATGTCAAGTCTTACCTTTCGCATCCCACGAAAATTCGAAAGGTCGTCCACCTGCTGGATGCGCTGAAACCCACGGACTCGCAGTTGAGTGGCAGCTGCAATTTGCCCACGCAGGCTGGCGCAGCTGCTGTAGTGGCAAACCACACATAATACTGCACATGTGCACTGCCAGGTGTCTGCACATGAGAAAGTTCGTTGCCTGGCCTTGCCCGTTGCAGAGGCAGGTCCTTAGCAGGTGAAAGCTTTGCATCTGGAATCTGGCCTCTACCCTGAGCCGATCAAAAGTCGCTGAGGTGCAGACATTGTGGCGGCGGCGGCCAGATCTGCACACGCCCATCATCAAGCTTCTCTCTTCGAGTCTCCTTGCAAAGGAGTGCGCTTGCCGATGCGAGTGCGCTTAAAGCCGTGAAACCGATCGCCAGGAGGGCTGCGTCCTGGGTGAGGCTGCTTTGTATTCTGTGAGGGTCAGCACCCTTGCGAGATGTTGCGAGCCATCGGCAGGCTTTGGAAGATCGCAGGTACAAGGCGGGGCGATGACAGCTACGTCCTGCAAAGACCTTAGCACATCTGGAGGCAGTGCTCGAGGTCGCCTGTCCCATGGCCCGAGCCTCTCGGCAGTTCTGGGGCTCCGCGGGTCGATGTTCTGCCGAGAGGTAGATCAGCCTGGGGTGGCAGAAGGAGTGGCCGCGTATCGGCGCTGGCGTCTCGGAGAGAAAGTTGTGCCTTAACTGCCGGTCGGGTGCCCATGTCCCAGGCCGAAACAGCATCTCCTCCGACGCTCACAAGCGATTGCTCGCCGACGTTTCACAGTGTTTTTGCCTCATCTCAAAAGTGAAAGCCATGCAGTGTCAAAGTTGGTGCCATTGCCGCGATCAGGTCCACCCGGTGCTTTTCTCGAGCACACGAAGCCTGGTAAAGAAGGCAAGGCAGCAGGCATGTTTCATAACTGCAGCTTGTCAGCCTGCCTGGTCAAGGCCGATTGGTTCATCGAGGACTTCATCAGTGGTTCCAGCGCGGAGAAAATCGTGTAAACGTTTGTCCTACTGCATCTTTCCCAAGTGCACACGCCTGCCAGTCAACTCGGCAGCCCTCTGTTACATTGCCGTTCCGTCTGGCTCCAGATCCGGCCCTTCGACGCCGCAGAAATCCACTGAGAACATACTCATCAGACATGTACGTCTCACCTTTGCGCAGGGCGGAGGTCATTTCAGCAACCTAGCTTAAGTAAAACCTGATCACAGTATTTCGATACAGAAGCATCGGACACCTGGGCATGTGAGTCCTTCTCCCTGATGACATGAAAAAGCAGGAGGAGAAGGAGACAAAAACACGCAGAGAGCTGAGTGGGGTCTCACCGCAGCAAGCTGCGCATGTATCCCGAAATCGACCCTCTATTGTACTCCATAGTGCCATAGAGTAGCTCCGCGACGCGATAGTTACTCTTTTGAAATCTACCCCTTCATGGGAATTTTACAGGTGAGCGTTTATTCTCAAAATGGGGTTCTTGTCTAGTCTTTCCTCCGCGGGGCAGCGTTCATTTCCAAACATTTCCGTGCAAGCCCTTCAATGGCGAAGGGTGACGCTGGACGAAGGCCGTCCTTTCCGTTGATGGGGCTGGGGAGTTCACGGGGAGATGCTGCAATGAACTGAGCTGGGGGGTGATGCTGGAACTGCCTCTCGTTCAGACATGTCGTAACAACTGCGAATCAGATGCTAGAAAGTGATGCTGCCCACTCGGATGTCCCGTGAAAGAACGGCAGGACCGCTTTTCGGTCCTGTTCTGGTGTTGGACAAGCATGGACACAGCTGCAGAGAGTAGAGTCATGATACCACTATAGACTTCAGCTCTCTCTGAGATTGCACCGCTCACGTTCTGCCGAGCCAGGAGGCTAGTGCACTTGCTTGCGTGGTTGCGTCTCTGTGGGAACATGCTGGAGCGTGAATGCCGGTCGGAAATGCAAAGGCGCAGAAAGACATACGCGGAACGTAAAGCATCAGGAGCATCGCAGACCGAATCTCTGAAATCCCTGAACAAGCATTAAGGAGGCCTTGTGTTCAGGTGCTGTTTTGGCAAATTGAGCACTCTCAGTTACGAAATCGGCAACCGGGGCTCTGAATTGCTACTTGAGCAAGGACTTGCTCAAGGTTGTCAGAAATGCTATTCATGCTAAATGACACCGACACTCTAAGCCTGCGATGCCACTGGCTTGGGGATCGTCGAAGAGGTCGGTTTCGCCTGCTCGGCTTTCCAGAAAGCTCAGAGTATCTCTTGTCTTGTTGCTGAGGCTTCTTCACGGGCTGGAAGCGAAAGCGCGACAGTGCGCAGGCTGCAGCTCTTTGGACAGGTTAAAAGTGCCCATTACAGGAGCAGAATAGCTCCTACTCTCCTTTATAGTCGTGGCTTATGGGGCTTGGTTGTAGTCATTTTCGTGGGCGGTAAAAGCGGCCTCACCAGGGCAAAGATGAGGAGGACATAGCGTCAAACCTGCTGGTGGTCGGGCCCTAAGCTTCCTCGTCTTCTTTGTTGCGATGTATCAGCCGCCTTGGGCCCGGCTATGCTGGATCTGTTTGCCGAGGACGGCGAGTTCCGGAACAAGCTTCCTCTTCCACCTGTGCCGCGGCTGCTCAAAGCTTTACCCAGCATGAAGGAGTGCCGCCCTTGGAAAAACTTCCCTTCTTGAGCTATACGAGATCCAGCTTCGGCTCCTGAGGCTCTGCGACTATCGTTTGGATGACTTGGAAAGTAAGTTGAGGCTGTGGGGGTTTGAGAGGACTCTGCTCCCGGTCTGCTTGTCTGCCTGAGTCTGCCTCCAGGCCGTATTTGCTTTCAACTCATTCGCTGCTGTGCTCGCCTCATCGCGCAGCTTCCGCAGATGCTCGCGCTTCTTTCGTCCTGCGCCACGACAAAGGTCGCGAATCCACATGGATGATGACGATGCCTACGGAAAGGCCCGGGCAGGGCAGTCGGGCGACGTGGCGCTTCTTCCCGGCAGTTCGCGGTTTTCGGGGTGCTCAAACTTAGGAAGCCGAAAAAGGCGGGGAGCCCAGAGATGCTGGAGAAATTCTCATGCTCTCTCGGAGCTTCTTTTTTTTTTGGCTGCAATGCGAAGGCTCCATGGCACCGCCGCCACCACCCATGGATGCGCTGCTCTTCAGGGATGACGATGCACTGCCCGCCAAATTGATGGGCTCTGCTGCTCAGCTCTGAAAACGGCCCCGTGTAGCAGGTGCCGGAGGAAGTCGAGCGAGCACAGAAGCCGGAAGCCGAAGCCATTGCTGGCCAGAATGCATGAAGACGTGAAGCTGCCACTACATGATACAGTAGACCAACATGACATAGAGCAACCGAGGCTCGCACGGCTGACAGAGCCCACGGATGCCTACCACCGTCAGGCCACGTTCCAAAGCTTTCCGTGCAGAAGGAGTGCAGTGTAACCGGTGTAGCCCGGATGAGGCCTTCGGCTTGCAGCTTCCTCAGCTCATCACCAACGAGACTTGGCTGAAAACTTCGAAGTCCAAGAGAGCTTGGCCTGAAGCTGAAGTCTCAAAGCTGAACGAAGGACGTGTTCACGGAGAGGCAGCGTTTCACAACAGGCACTTGCTCGCGGCTCTCGGGACTGCTTTTGGCTCGTCGTGATGCGACCCAGAAGCAGCCGCAAAGACAGGTCGGGATGCTGCTGAAAAGAAGATTTTCCGGGATCCTCCCGGTTTCAACAGCAAGGAGGCAGATGACCTTCCACAGAGAGACTCGCTTGAGGGCAGCGGAGCTTTCAAAATCCGGACAGGAGCTGGCCCAAAAGATCGGCAAGACCTTCCAGGCTGCGAAGGAGGCCAAACTCTCTCAGATGTCGACGCTTTGCGGTTTGCTAGTGCCAATGCTACCCTAGTAGGTGGTAGTAGTCGTAGTAGTCGTGGTAGTCGCAGTAGCCGTAGTAACAGTATTTCTGGGAGTTGTGGGAGCGGTGGTAGAGGTAGAGGCAGTGACAACGATGATAACGTTGGTAGTGATGGTAGTGGCTGTGGTAGCACCAGTAGTGGTAGCAGCGGTGGTAGTGGTGGTGGTAGTAGTAGTAGTGGTGGTAGTAGTGGTAGTGGGAGTAGGAGTATGGGAGTATAGGAGTAAAGGAGTACAGGAGTATAGGAGAAAAGGAGGAGTGCGTGAGGTGTAGGTG